GGGCGGGCCGCCCAGATACGCCGCGGTCCCGCCCCCCGCGTCGGCGTCCTCCAAGGCTTTGCTCCGCATCTCCTTGGTCTGCTGGGGGGGACTCCCCCCCAGCAGACCAGGAAGACGTGGAGCAGCTTTTCTCGCCCCGGAGGACGGGGGCGGCGGGACTGCAGCGCATCTGGGCGTCCCGCCGCTCCAGTCCTCCAGGGCAAGAAAAGTCCCGTTCGTAACTGCGGATCCGACATAAGTCGGATCCGCATAACTCGGGGACTGCCTGTACTATGCTGAACAGACTCGGAGAGCTCCCTAAGTTACTGAAACCATAACATGAAAAGCATTCTTGGAGAATGCCAAAAATTACAAAAAAGAAGATCTTCACACCACAGCCTTCTTTCACATGCCTCAAGAATCAGAATTCAAAAAGGAAAGAAAGAATTATAGGAAATAGTTTTAGGCTCAAGTATTTTTTTCACCATTATTTCTAGATGTATCCTATGAAATGTAAATATCAATATTGATTTTCTTTGGCTCAACAGGTCTGGAATTCCTGAGGGGGAGGTGAATAGACTGCAGAGCATCATACTACAGATCAAATGAAACAATCATTCTTAAAGCTCACTGGGAATTTTTCACATAAAGCTCTCGATGGAAGTCCAAACATTTCTGAAGAAAAAGGCAATTTCCATTTTGCTCAAAAGCTAGTTTTTCACCTTTAAAATTGGTTTGATGACAAATTTTTGAGTGGGTCTAGCCATAACACTGATTTGAGTGGGGAGTTCTGCTTAAAAATATTAACACACAATACAGACTACAGTAAGGGCTTAACACAGCTTTACAGATCTGTAGGTTTACATGGCTATTATTCCTCATCTCCAAATACAATGGCTTTTAGATAAAACAAAGATGAGGCAGCAAATACAATGTTACAGGCATGCCAATAAAACTCACCAGATAAAATGAAGAAGATTCCCGATACGAAGGCCAGGATGGTTCTGTGAGGCCGAATGTGTCCAATATTGCTCAGGATAAACCCAATGAACATGAAAAAGAGGCTGACCAAAGGGAAAGGAGTAGCAGAACGAATCATCTCTGGTTGTAAAATGGGGAGGAAAAATTAGAACAGGTTTAGTACCTCCCTGCGGAACACCAGAAACAGGCTAGATTACACACCACAGGTCTGCTACGTCTTCAATTTGTACTATTCTATAGATCCGTTTTCCCTTTCCTGTTCCCTCTCTGAGTTTTGAGTGTGCTGGTGTTCACCCCCAAACTCACACACCAAATCTACTTTGCTAAGTAGTTGACCAAAGGTGCAATTATGCCCACTGAAAACATCTCTTAATGTTTGTATTCCTAGTGATTTTCCCGCCTGAAAAATTACAAATATACATCCAATATTTTTGAGTGGTCTCATGGCAAGACTTTTCACTAAGCACTTGTATTTACGATCTCAAAAATGTACCAAGCATGGTTAAGGTTCACCGACAGAAGTGGCAAAAACTAAACGTAAGAATTTAAAGTGAGAGCTATGACATTCCATCCTTAACTCATCCCACTCCGCAGGGGGTCTCAATCAGCAAGCAATCTGTATGTGCTGTAAGACCTTCTGTCACAGATTATTCATCACCTGCACGGAGAGAATATAAAATAAGCTGTTCCAAAAAATCCCACAGGCCTTGACCACTCCAACAACAGGAATCTGTGTCAGAGGCCAGCCTCCCTTGTAGGAACTGTGAGCCTCCTACCATTGGGGGTGACACGATCAGACACCCTGAGCATGTTTGGCATTTCACCATAAGTAAAACGCAGACTTGTACAGAAACACCTGGTCGTACATTCCCACCAGCAGGGAATGAGAAGCCTTGCTTTGGGCATGTCTAGATTTGCTTTCACTTTCGAAAGAAGATATGCAAATTCGGTGTGAATTGGCATATCGTCTTCCAATCACTTTTTCAAAAGAGGGTCGTTCGAAAAAGAAAGTAGTCTAGACATGGTTCTTTCAGGAAAAAAAAAACTTTTTTCGAAAGAGCTGTGTAAACCTAATTTTTTTTTAGGAAGAATGGTTCTTTTGAAAAAGGGATTTTTACCTCGAAAGAACCGGGTCTAGACTTTCTTTTTCGAAAGAACCTCTTTTGAAAAAGCGATCAGAAGAAGATATGCAAATTCACACCAAATTTGCATATCTTCTTTCAAAAGAGAAAGCAAGTCCAGACGTGCCCTTTGTGTCTTGAGTTCTTAAGTAATTTCCCGACGACCCTTTAGTATTTTAGCAGACTGCAAAGAATAAGCGATACAACAGAAAAGTAAATAAACCACCTACTTAGAACATTGACTGTCGATTCAGATGTCAGTTGGACGTTCATGGGCATGACATACTCTATAGTAAAACACCGGCCACGCTCCTCACCTGCAGGGAGGAGAGTCTGAGTCATGGTTGCAATATAATGAAAATGTTTTACTTTAATAGAAGGGCTTTTTAAATTAAGTGCGTGCAGAAGAAACTTGCTTTTTGGGGTGGGGGGAAGGGGCTCTTTAGGTCATAAGTGTTATCGTGTGGTGCTGAAGAAGGATGCCTACTAGCTACCATATCCTTGAGGGATTTGCTCTTTGGCTTTTTAAAATGTCACTGACCAAAGAGTAATAGCTACAGGAGTGGTATGAGCTGGTCTCGTGTGTCAAACACATCACTCAACAAATACAGCTCTCTCCCTCTGTTGGTCATTCTGATTATTTATTGGAGGGCAGCGTAAATGGGAAAAGAACAAAGCCCAAGGTATGGGAAGCACCTGGATAAGATTATGGGGGTGGGTGGACTCTGGGAGACCCTTTATGATATCGTTGATCCCAATATTATAAAACTGCTAGGATTCTGACCAGATATGCCATGTAAGACACCTGTGAAAATGCTATGATTTGCGCAATATGATAATCTTGTGTATATGGATCACTTTTGTATTATAAGTTACAGATGTGCAGAGTAGATCTGTATTTCAAATTTGTGCTCTGCATCTGTGTGATATCCCCCAGGCGCACTGACAACAGCACATTGAACAGTGGGTTCAGTGCTGTCCAATGAACCCACTGAAAGCAACTATGGGATATGACTGACGAGTCAGCAAGGCATGTGATATGCTTATGGACAGAACTCTCAGGTTTTTCCATGCCCATGTGCTGTGAAGTTTGTGTTTGGGACACAGGAAGTACAAGCCTCCTTGTACAAAGGAATATACAGGGCAGCTCCATTTTCTCCATTTTGTCTTTAACTCCTGATTCTTAGCTCTGGAGTAACTATCTACAAATGAAGCCCTAAACAAAGGGCTGAAGGACCCTAGCTATGCAGCAAAGAGGGTGGTGTGATTTTTTCTTCTTCTTCTTAACCATTGTGTGGGATAAAATCACTGTGACTGGTTGAAGAGTTCAGCTTCAGTGTTAACCAGCAATTTTGGGAGTGTCTGCTCTCCCTTTTGAAGCCTGCCCTGATCTGGGTGGGCGTTTCCAGTGAGAGCTGCCCTCAGCATCCTGTGTTGCAGGGTAAAAACGAAGAGGACACGTGGATGGAGCATGACAGTGCGTTTTCCAACAAACTGCATGTATCAGCTGTTCCTGAATAGGAGAAAACTCTGAAAGCTAATTGGCAAGGGGGGTGAGATTTTGACAGGCCATGCAATTCTAAGATAGCTAGAGAGGGCTTGGCTTAGGATGCCTTCTGAGGAGGCAGACAAAGGTTTAGCATTTGATACAAAATACATGAATAATTAACATGCATGGCCTGGTGGGTAAAAATCATGCAGAATTGTGACTGGAGACATCTGCTACTAGCATGGTCCCCTTAGGAAAATGATTTGGATTAATCTGGCCAGACACCGTTTGGAACCCATAGTACGAGCCTCCCAAAATTTACACCGGTGATCATTGTTCTTCGCCTCTGCAAAGCACTTGACACCTCTGCCTCACAAACCATTTTATAAACAAAAAGAGCAGGAGTGTGACCTCACAACAGCACACCAGGGAGAACTTTCAGCTCTCTCATGCAGGCAACTTCCATCCCTGGTCACTGCACTGAGGAGAGGGGAAAGCAACCTCAATGGGGCTTCTGCTCCCCTCTTCACAGGCAGGCAGAAAGTGGGTGGAAGGGAGCAAGGAACAGAGCCTCAGTTTAGCCCCTTTCATTTCGCATCCCATAGTCAGTTCCTTCTCTACAGAAGTAGGGAGAATTGTGACTAAAAGTAATTCCTTCCCTGCTGTGTGTAATAAGATGAGGGTCTCAAACATAAGCCCATGTTATCACAGGCCTAGTGTGAAACTGGAGGCGTAGTCAACAATGGTCAAGACTCTTTTGATATAAAGCAAAGCTAAGCTGTGAGGAAGAGGCAGGCCCCTGCTTACAGAACTTGGCAGGAACAGGGTTGTTAGGGTGCGTCCTCACAGCAAAGTTATTTTGGAATAACGGCCATTGTTCTGAAATAACAATGCGAGTGTCTACACAGCAATTCCAGGATTTCGAAATAATGGACGGCTTATTCTGACTTCTGTAAACCTCATTCTATGAAGAATAACACCAGTTCCGAAATAGCTATTTTGAAACAAGGTGTGTGTAGACATGCCACTGCTGCTATTTCGAAAAAGCCCCTCACCAGAGCCATTCTAAGTTATTCCTCCTGGGGCTCTAAATCCAGACAGCACGTCTACATTAGGGAAGCCTGCCTTGGACTAATTTTGAGGCTTCCCTGAAGTGTAGACGTGCTATTTCAAAATAAGCTATTTAGAATAACTATTCTGGAATAGCTTATTTCAAAATAACTGTGCAGCGTAGAAGTAGCCTTAGTGTAAAACTCTAACTGGCAATAAGCACAGATGTAGAACAGTAATTGATACTAAGTACTGGCTGTAAACCAGTAATTGGTACTGGGCATAGGTTGAAAACACATTCCAGAAGGATGGTAAGAACATCTAGTTAAAAAGGACTTTGGTACCCACACACTCCCCACAGATAACAGGGACATACCAACCCAGGTTCAGGAACATAAGAACATAAGAACGGCTGTACTGGGTCAGACCAAAGGTCCTTCTAGCCCAGTATCCTGTCTATCGACAGTGGCCAGCACCAGGTGCCCCAGAGAGGGTGGACCAAAGACAACGATCAAGCAATTTGTCTCCTGCCATCTCTCTCCAGCCTCTGAAAAACAGAGGCCAAGGACACCATTTTATCCCCTGGCTAATACCCTTTTATGGACCTCCAGGAAAGTGTCTAAAACGACAGCATGATAGATAGAGATGTTCTAATTGAATCAGGGTGATGGGTGGTACCTAAGTAACATCAGACGGTGGCAACCTGACATGCCAGGAGTGGGGTGTAACTTGTTTGTACCCGTATTTAAAGTTGTGTCTTGAAGGGGTGTTCTTTGTCCAGCGTAGAGGGCAGTGGCAAATTCCATATTACTGACTGGGTTGTGTCCATTGCTAGGGGGAACCTATGCGTGGTGGTTTGGTAGAGTCTACTGAAAACCATTACCGTACTTCATTTGACAACAAACCTGACCGGGCAACTTGGATCCTTATCTGATTTTGTGGCCTTTGGGGGGGCTCTCAGAATCTGCCGTGTTGACTTTGTGCAAAGTCAACACAACACACGAGAGGAGCACACACGTGCACAGCTGAACAGTTATCATTAACGGAGAAGGAGACCTGTCAGGACACCATCCCGGTGACTCCTGACTACCACACCGTGCTCCTGAGAAGCACAGCTCTGGGTCAACCATTCATTCAAGACAGACTGTAAAGGAACGACACCCCCCCCCCCCCCCCCACACACACATTTCCTCTCCATGCAAATGGGGGAAACAGAGGCACAGAAGCCATTAAGCAGCTTGCCCAAGGTTGGGCAGGTCATATGCAGCAAAGACAGGAATGGCTACTAAAATCCCTGGCTCCCAGTTCTTTGTCCAAAGCACTGTACCTGCCAAAAAGCAGACTCTCCAGAGGCCAGAGTGCAGCGACATTTTGATTTCGGTGGTCTGATTCTGGGGCAGGATGATTCCTTCCTCCAGGTAGAGCCAGTAGTCGGTGCTCACCGCAATTCCCAAAAGCCCCAAGCCGCAGACAGCAAACACGCTGCTGAGCAGAGTCAAAGCCTTCCTGCCGCACGCGCTCATTCCAAAAAGCATCAGGGTTCGCAACGGCAATAAGGAATAGCTGGAGGGGAGAAAAGACGGCGTGATTAGCAAAGACTGAATTGCACCCAACCTATTTCCAGCTTTGCTTTCTTTAAGATCTGTAAGTGACAAAAGCATTGCCCTCCCCTATCATGCTCATTTAGGTCAAGCTGAAATAAACCCTTAAAAAAAAATCACAAACTCTCCAGACACAGAGAGCATTTGAACCAAATGCTGCCGGATAGTCACATAGCTTTATTCAGTTTTATTCCCCATGGTCTTGCTGAACTCACTGCCACTGGGATGTAGACATCCTACCTTCGGGACATACAAGCACACACACTATTCTCACTACAGAGTAGTTGTTTATCAGCGATGTTACTGAATTGCCTACATGTCACAATCAATATTGGGGGCCTCAGCTAATTATCGCCCTTCGGTACTTCCATGAAATGTTCCCTGGAATCTTTTCCATCCATGTGCAGAAGTTTTCCATCCATGTGCGGAATAAATTTCTATATGCTAATGTGCACCACCAGTTAAAAAAAAAAACTGGCTGCATTTGAATCTCTCCTGAGAGGCCACACATGCGCACCGCTTACAGGGAACACTGCTTCTACGGCATGAGAGCCTCACATTCTTTATCTTCCCAGCTCCCCCATGAGGTCAGACACAGAACCACAGACATAGAGTAAGACACATTCCCTGGATCAGGCATCTTATATTCTGGAGCCCGAATCTTGCAAAGATTTACATGCTCACATCTAGGAGCTGGAATTAATACCATCGAAGTTAATGGGATTCCGCACAGTGTGTAAAGCGAAGCAGCAGTGTAAGTCTTTGCAGGATTAAGGGCTAAACAATACCTGGCATTTATCTAAAGCAGGGGTGGGGAACCTCTAGTCCGGGGGCTGGATGAGGCCCCCGGTTTACCTGGATTAGGCTCCCAAGGTTCAGCACAGGGGAGCCTGCACTGATGCTCCCGCCCCCCTGCCCCTATCCACAGGGCTGGAGCACACAAAATCTACCAGTCTGGGCTCTTGTGTGCAAGAGGCAAGTGGAGAGCGTCTTTTTCCTTCTCAGTCAGGGGCTTCTCATTTTGCTCATTGTACGGCCCCCAACTGATTTTTCTGTGGGTCAGCAGCCCCCGACCCAAAAAAGTTCCCCACCTCTGCTCTAAAGGCTTTCATCTGCAAGGATCCCACACACATTGCAAACCCATGCACACTTGAGAACCACAGTGATCTGCACTTAGCAACACACACACACACACACACCACCCCCGAGCCATTCTTCTGCGTGAATTATAGACTCGTCACTCCCTTGAGAAACAATTTACCATCAGGAATTGTTGAGTGAATACTCATATTATTAAGAGGTCATTATTTTACTGTGGACCATTCACTAAATGGCAGTCGCTAGAGAAATTAATGAAGTGCATTGTGCAATGCATTAGCCTCACTTTATTTACTTTTTATTGTTTGTTCACTTACTCGCTAATTTGCAGAAATCAGTCACTCTCAGCGGGCCTGCCAGACGATGTTGCAAAGTGGCAAGATGTTACCAAAGGTTGTTCTATTTATTATGGTTTTATCAAAGCCTCTTAAGCAAAACAAACTGTCATGGGATAAGAGGGAAGATCATGAATCAATCATTGGTTGAAACGCAGGAAACAAGCAGTAGGAATACACAGGCCTGCCAACAGGGTGAAAGTAAAGGGAGCCAGTGATCCCCTAGCCCCACCTCCTCTGCCTGAGACTCCACCCCTTTCAGGAGTGCAGAACCACCTTCCCACACACCTTGCCCAGGGGTCCAGCAATTCTGTCGGTCCCTCCTGGGAATATGGTTAATTTTCACAGTGGAGAGGTAAAGAGTGGAGCCTCCCAAGGATCTATACAGGGACCAGGGCTGTTCACCAAAATTGTAAATGATCTGGCAGAAGGGGGTAAATAGCAAGGTGGCAAAGTTTGCCAACTATACAAAATTTCCCAACAGAGTTAAGTCCAAAGCAGTCTGTGAAAAATTACAACAGGGTCTCACGAAACCAGCTGACTGGGCAACAAAAAGGCACATAAAATTCACTGTTGATAAATGCCCAGGAATGTGCACTGACGAACATAATCCCAACTATCTGTGCAAAACGATGGGGACTAGATTAGTTACCATCAATAAAAAGATCTTGGAGTCATTGTGGATAACTCTCTGAAAACATCTGCTCTTGTAAAGCAGCAGTCCAGAAAAGCGAACAGAATGTGAGGCACCATTAAGGCAGAACATATGAAGGGCAACAAAAATGTTCAAGGGTAAGAACATCTTATAAATGAAGAGAGGGGGAAAAAAAGGGACTGTTCATCTTAGAAAACAGACAACAAAAGAGGCATATGACAGACGTCTATAAAATCACGAACAAGGCTAGTGACAGACTTCATCAGGCCCTGAGCAGGTGTGGGAGGCAGGACGGGCCTGGCTCTGGGCTCCCCGGAAGAGGCGGAACCTGGGGCTCAAGGGGCAAGGCTAATGCAGTCAGCCCTCAGTGCCGCAGCATATCCCCCCCCCCTCCAGTCCTCAGTGCCACCTGGCCTGCACTGTGTGGAACTCTAGAGGGGATTGAAAGGACCCAGGGTCGAGCAGCCTTTTAAATCGCCAGGTCCTGGGGCAATTGACCCCTTTGTTCCCCCTGTTAGCGGCCCTGATTATGGATGGGGTGGAGAAAGTGAACAAGGAGGTGTTATTTACCCATTTACATAATGAAAGGAACAAGGAGGCCACCCAATGAAATGAATAAGCAGCAGGTTTACAACACACACAAGCAAGTACTTCACACAATGCACAGTCAACCCGTGAAAGTCATTGCCCGTGGCTACCAGGAAGGCCAAAAGTACAACTGGGTTCAAAAAGAATACAGTACAACATGGTCAGAGGCACAATCGCATGCTCTGAGTGCCCCTAAGCCTCTGACTGTCAGATGTTGGGACAGGACCAGAGGGGGTAGATCACCCAACAAATTGTCATTCTCTGTTCATTCCCTCTGAAGCATCTGGCCTGGGCCACTGTCCAAATCCAGGATGCTGGGTTAAATGGACCATTGATCTGGCCCAATATGGTCATTCTTATGTTCGGAAAAGTTCACTGAACCCTAAAAAGGCACCAATGTCTTTGTGCCAGAGGGCAGAGACTTAACTAAAAGAGAAGAACAGCCCCAGAGCAAATGACAGACTAGAGAAAAATAAGAGGCAATGAAGAAGGTTTTGTGAAAACATTGTAGCGTGGTGGTGGGAATTGGGCAGCAAGATCTGTTCACTGGTTACACAAAAACACAACCTGAGCTGCACAGAAAGACAGAATCACGCAGAATTTCCCAAGTGTGTTTGGTTCTTGGTGAGCACTACAGAAGACAAGAGAAACAAACAAACGAAATTCCCCCTTGAGAAAAACAACAACCAAATTTAACACAGGAGCAGAAGGTAACATCTTCCTTGTCCTACTTTTCAAATTGCACATGCACTGTTCACGCTGTGTGAAGCTTTAGACAATAAAATGGTAGTTGATTGAATCCAAAGAGAACATAGCTTTTAACTAGCATGCACAATACCAGGTTCCAAAGAAGGCACAAAACTCCTAAATGAACACAAGAGAAAATTTCATATCAATTGTTGGAAGAATTTCCAAAACACCGAGGGGATAGTTAATCAAAATTATGGGGCAGCTTGGTCTTGTGCCTCTTCGGGCTGGTCTGCACACTAGCTTGCCCTGAAGTAACTGAACTGGTTTTCATTTCGCACCTTTGGTTATTTTGGGACAAGTCAGTGCGTCGGCAAGCTCAGTTTGGAATAAGCAAAATTAAAGGAGGATATTTTAAGGGCTTAAAAAAAACTGTTGAAATGGAGGACCCTACAGGTCTGTTCATGCCCCTGCTTTTTAATATGGATATATTAATATTGATCTAAAATAAAGCACAGTGGGAATCTTCGTAGCAGAGTTGACCTGTGCCTGCGGGGATTAGGAAACAGTAAGAGGTAGGAACAATAAATTCAGTAGACAGCTTCCACTTATTGTATCTTAAAGCCACAAAAGGATTTGGTGTGCCAGGAAAATGGGCTGTGCCTGGAATGAGATTGGTTCTCAGAAAACCAAACAGAAAGGAGACAGCATCACCAGGCAGGTGAAAAGGGGTGGCCAGGACTGCCCCAGCCTTGAACCTCCCATCTCCCAGGAATCATTTCGGGAGGATGAGGAGGGTTGAAGCTCCCTTCCCCCAGATCATACAGGGATGTTCCTGGCTGTTTCCCTTTGTCAGAGAGTGAGGGGAAAGTGCATGGTCCATGACCAAAAGTGGTATTTCTGTGAGATGGCTAAGCCCTGCCTGGGCCTGCGTTATATCCAAACAGAGCATCAATATATAGAGAGATAGCGGTAGAATCTTGCAGGGAGATGGTGTCAAAGCTTTTCCTGAGGTACTTTTGAGTCCAGTCCCCGGCCCTTACAGCATGACCCAATACCATAGACCATCCCTGATAGATGTCTATCCAACCTGCTCTTAAATATCTCCAAAGATGGAGATTCCACAACCTCCCTAAGCAACTTATTCCAGTGCGTAACCACTCTGACAGATAGGAAGTTTTTCCTCATGTCCAACCTAAACCTCCCTTGCTGCAGTTTAAGCCCATTGCTTCTTGTCCTTGACGAGACAAGCCTCAGAAGCCAACGAGAACAATTTTTCTCCCTCCTCCTTGGGACACCCTTTTAGATAACTGAAAACTGCTATCATGTCCCCTCTTAGTCTTCTCCTTTCCAAACTAAACACGCCCAATTCTTTCAGTCTTCCTTCATAGGTCATGTTTTCTAGACCTTTAATCATTCTTGTTGCTCTTCTCTGGACCTTTTCCAATTTCTCCACATCTTTCTTGAAGTGTGGTGCCCAGAACTGGACACAATACTCCAATTGAGGCCTGATCAGCGCAGAGTAGAGCAGAAGAATGACTCATGAGATTCCATGGAAAGCCTGCAGTTTCCCCACCCTCCTGCTACGACACTCTCCCAAACCTTTCCTCATAATGTACTGCCAGAACCAAAGCAGCACAGAGTTAGGGTGCATAGGGAGCCGGGTCTCCCCCTGCTTGCATACAGAAGCTGAGCCTGAGTTTGCCTGTTAACCTTGAGCCAGAGTACTGGCAGCCTGTGAACAAGAGTGGTATTATTACAAATTGTTTCCATGTACATCTGCTATGGACTATACTGCCTTTGGGACTCATGCCCAACTTTAAAACTCACCATGATCAGAGTGTCTGGAGAGATCTGTGTTTGCCTCTAGGGTAACAAGAAAAATGACAAGTTTTGTTCAGAGACGGGCATGTTTGTGAAATGTTACAACCTTTTATCATGGAAAGTACAGTCACTCCATTGTTAATGGTCACTTTTCCAGACCAGACCTTGAAAAGTCAGGTATATTCCCCTGCAAACAAAATCCGTCAATTAAGGGAAAAAACCTCGAAGGACAAGGGAGGATCTGGTCAAAGATGTGTTGCGTCATTCAATGCTTCAAACAGAGAAAAGGGAAGAAAGAAAAGCTAGGGAGATGAAAGTCAGGACAGAAGCTGCTGAGCACACACTAAAGCTCATGGAAGACCAAAATGAGATGCTGAAGTGTCTTATCACGATGGAGAGTGAACAGAACCAAAGGCCTCCCAGTCAGCACATGAAGAACTCTTTTCACAGCAACTGTCCCTCCATACTCACACATCAGCCTCCATGGCCACATATGCAGAATTCTTTATCCAGCAGCCCTTCCTCTATGCCATGGGTTCCCCAACTGGGGGGGGGGCATGAATAAACTCCAGGGGGGGTGCGAGGTGACACCCCTCCACCCCTGTGAATCCATCCGCCCTAAGTTTTGCTGCTTTTTTTTTTGGCCCTCAACAAGTTTTGCTGTTATGGGGGAGAGGGGCCAAGGTTTCTCAAAAATAAAAAGGGGGGGGGTGATGCCGAAAAGTTTGGGAACCACTGCTATATGCCCACACACTCATTTTCACAATCAGGTAATTTTTTCCAGCACACTTCCCTCCCCGTGAAAGCAGCTGCGATTTTAACAGCTGGACGTCAACACAATTGTAAGGTTTTCCAATAATCCTTATCATCCCTTACTACCAAGCATCCTGACTGAAAGACATCAATAAAGACAAATACGATGCCGGTTTCCAGGAGTTTATTTTATGTGACACAACCCCTGTGAAAGCCTGAAATATCCCTTGGGTTTCATGGTAATGCCTCGCTCAGGATGAGGCAGTAGGATGAGGCAGGGAAGCAACCCCAACACACAATGTCAGTGCCTCTCATTGTCAAAGTGGTTCTTCTGAGCACCCTGGGATATTGATGGCCACACTATGGGATCCTGTGATAGAACAACTTTATATGGCTGCTCAAACTGTGCACCCAGGCGCTGTGTCTCATTGTTCCACACACAGCCAAACACTTCCTCCTTACTTACACACAAATTATGTAAGCAACAGCATGTGGCTACCACACAGGGGATATGATCCTCTAAAACATGGGTTCCCAAACTGGAGGGTGTGAAGAAATTCCAGGGGGGGGCGCAAGGCACCCCAGCCACACACGCACAC